GGCCTGGAAGGCCGGCAGGACAAGGGCAGAGAGGAGGACAAGTGTCTTCATGGCTGAGAGTCACCTGAAGGATGAGTGAGCAGGAGCCCAGTGTGTGGTGACTGAGGAACCAACAAAAACATTAAGAATAAGAGTTAGGAGGAAAACATCAAGAATGAGATAAGGCCAAACAATGCTGCTATACTTGGAAACAACCATAATGTCCCTCAACCAAAGAATGGATAAGGAAAATGTGGTATATTTACACAATGGAGTACTACACAGCAGAAAAAATAACATCTTGAATTTTGCAGAAAAATAGATGGAGCTAGAAAGCATCATTTTGAGTGAGGTAACCCAGACACAGAAAAAATAAGTATCACAAAACAAAGAAAACCAGTCCACAAATCACCATCCTAGAGAACTTAGACAACAATGAGGACCCTAAAAGAGACATACATAGATCTCATCTACATGAGAAGTAGAAAAAGACAAGATCTCCTGAGTAAATTGGGAGCATGGAGACCATGGGAAAGGGTTGAAGGGGAGGAAAGAGGAAGGGAGGGGAACAGAGAAAAATGTAGAGTTCAATAAAAATAAAAAAAACCAAAAAACTAAAAACAAAAAAAGAATGAGATAAGGAAATCACCAGGAAAATAAAGAATAGGGAATATAAAAGAAAAATAAAGAGAAGTTGTGAAAGTAACCATCAAGAGAATATGTGAGTGTCTTTCAGCCCACCCACCTCAGATAGAAAAGTCTTAACATGCTCTGACTTATGGATTTCTTTCAGTCCTAGGCTATCTGGAATTTGGTGCCCCAGGCAGTAATAGTGTCAGACTTGTCTTTCAGGATCATGGATTGTACCTAACTCTTAGAACACAAGAAGATGAGAAGCCCAGATGATATTGGGTGTGATCAGCAGTAGAAACTGCAGCAGAGGCATCCGGATCCCTGTCACACCAGCCTGTGACACCACTGTTCCTGACCTTTCTTCAGACACAGTCTTCCCTTTCTGTTCTATGACCATCCTTGTGCTGTCTTTCTCTACCCTCATCATCATCAACCATTCTTGGTTGCTTGGAGAATGAATGGCTCTGTGTCTTTTTACTTTCTGGGTGTCTCTCCAAAGCTTCACTGTGTAAGAGATAACAGGGTCTCAGACTTTAGACAACCCAGGAGAGCAACATGTAGTTGTAAAATTGTATTTATGTACTTCAGGTTTGGGCCAGTGAACTGTTTCTGTGGATATTAGAGCTCAGTCCATAAAACAAGGATCAAGTCTACAATATGAATATGAAGGGGAGACTGGGAACCCACAGAACCTCTTGTGCTGAGCTTGTCTTAGGAGCTAATATATGCATAGTTATCAAACCATGTATATAAAGACTTGGTTTTGCTTAATATATTACCAGGAGGATGAAAACCATGAAGTTGGATAGAAGGATATATGGGAACAAAATAAGTCCTTATCTCTTCAGAAATAGAACACACCTGTATTGTAGAGGTAGAAACATCTATAGTACAGACCATTCCCTTGGTTTTAGTATGCTAAGGGTCATAGCGCTCTTAATGTTTTTTTCTCAGATGAGGTTGCATAACCAGTCCATACATAGAGAGAAGTAGCACATTCTTCACCCTTGAGTTAAGAAATCCCATTATATAGACTGTTTCCTTCTGTCCTCAGTGAGCCAAGGGTCAGAATGCTCTTAGAAGTGGAATGTGCTTCTTTCTCAAACAAGCCTGCTGGCAACAAATTGTACATATGTGAAAATAAGTTTCAGAGGATGTGGCTTATGAAAAATTCACATGTATATAAATATACATATATATGTGTATATTTATATACCATAGTATAGGCAGTCATGATTTTTGTCATATTCATTATACTATTATTAATAACTCATTTATTTCTCCTTTACAGTTTATACATTTAATCAGCAACATAGATTATTCAACATTAAATCAATTTTAGGTACATGTTGTGTTGAATATTTTATAATTTAAATGGAAATATTAATGCATTTATCATACAACATGCTATTTCATTTATTTTCTCCTTAGCTTTTTTGAGATATAATTGATGAAAGTGGTATATAATGCATGCAACATGATGATTTTATACATGGATACGGTGTGAACTGATCACCACAACCACCATAATTTACACAACTATCATTTCTGAAATGATCACTTCAAATTTCTGTCTTTTATTTTTTGAGATTAAAATATAATTGCATCACCTTCTCCTCCCTTTCTGTCCTACAAACCCTTCCATAGTATCCCTCCCATCTCTCTTTCAAATTTAGGGCCTCTGTTTTCTTTAATTGTTGTCAAATACACATATACTTATACATAAATGTTCCTAATTACATAAATACACCTTGCTCTGTGAGTATGTTACTTGCATGATGTTTTCAGTGATGATCATTCATTATTGGATAATAATAATAATAATTGTCATGCTCTCCAGCAGTGAAGTCTATTTCTATCACTATGTATTCTTTAGTTGCCTGTAGTTCTCTGTGTAGGGCTGAGACCTCCTGACTTTCCTCAACCCACTTCAGCATATATATTGTTGTTGTCCTTGTTCAGCTCATACTTAGGAAGTCATGTTGGACTTTATTGGTGTAGCTTCTGACATATATATATATATATATATATATATATATATATATATATATATTTCCAATGATCATCTGGCTCTTCCAATCTTTCTGCCCTTGAGCCTTAGGTGTACCAGTACTTTTGTAGATGTACCCATAGGAACTGATCCCTACATTTCGATTGGTTGTGTTTCTTCTCTAATGATCTCCCTTGGTTGCAAAGAGCTGTTTTCTTGTTGAACAGAATGGAATGCTTATCTATGGATACAATGAAAAATATTGAGAGTGTAGTTAGGGTTTGTGCTGGCTTAGTAAAATGGTGGTTGTAGGTTTTCCTCTAAGATCCATGACTTCTCTAGCTCTGGGAAGTTGACTCAATTTCCAGTACCAGCCTGTTTTGTTGAGTAGTCCTCAAGTCCAATTAATTAGAGAACTGTTGGTTATTGCCAAGGAATGCACGCCACTCTTGCATCCTAAGGGTGGTTGTTGTAGTTCATAGACATCATAGCTAGGGAAGGACTGCTGTGGTAGGTTGGTTGTTTCCCTCCTCTGGAAGTTTAATGGTTCCAAGAGACACCATGAAAGCTAGTCTCCTCAAAGAGGAGATTTCAGTCAGTTCTAGGTAGGGATCTCTGAGTCATACATCTGAGGTACACGGTGTTTTCAGTAATAGGGATCTTACCTTCCACCTCTAGAGGACAATCAAGGACACTAGCAACAGAATGTGCTGTTTTAGAATTCTCTTGGAAATCCTGATTGCCAACTCAAAAGAGGCTTCTCATGTCTAGTGTTGGAATTTTTGTCAGATGGCTGTTGGCTCTTCGAGAGAGAATAGTCAAAACAGATGAGAAATTTCATCCAAACATTACATTCATATTTATAGACAGACTTACATGTATTATAAGTTTTTCTTTGCTTGCTTGCTTTTGGTGTACCTTTATTTTTTTTAAAAAAAAAGAAAACAAACTATCTTTTTAAATTTTACATACGAATCTGTTTTCACTTCCTCCCATCCTCCCATACCCTCCACCTAACTCCCGCACCACACCCCCACATCCACTCCTCAAAGAGAGAAAGGCATATTGCTTTGGAAAGGTCCAAGGCCCTCCTTACTATATCTAGGCTAAGCAAAATATCCATTCAAAGAGAATAGATTCCAAAAAAGTGAGTACAAGCAGTAGGGATAAATCCTGGTGCCCCTGCCAGTGCCCCACAGTCTGCTGCAGCCATGCAACTGCCACCCACATTCAGAGGGACTAGTTTGGACCTATGTTGTTTCCTTCCCTGTCCGGCTGGAGTTGGTGAATGCCCATTAGCTTAGATAAACTGTTTCAGTGGGTGTACCCGTCATTGTATTGGCCTTTTTGCTCATATTCTCACTCCTCCCACTCTTCAAGGGGATTTTGGGAGCTCAGCTCAGTGCTCCAATGCAGGTCTCTGCCTCTGTTTGCATCTGGATGAAGGTTCTATGGTGATATTTAAGATATTCATCAGTCTGATTTACAGGGCAAGGCCAGTTTGGGCACCCTCTCCTCTATTGCTTAGGGTTTTAGCTAAGGTCATCCTTTTGGATTCCTGAGAATTTATCTAGTGCCAGGTTTCTTGCTAGCACTATAATGGCTCCCTCAATCAAAATATCTATTTCCTGACTCTCATCTCTGTCCTTCCTCCATCTCAACTATACCATTCCCTCAAGTTCACCTCCCCACTTCCCTTTTCCCCTCATCTTCCCCTTCTGCCCTCCCTCCTGCCTCCACCACCAATGCCCCAATTTTATCAGGTGATTTTGTCTATTTCCAGGTGCATCTATGTATGTTTTTCTTAGGGTTCACCTTGTTACTTAGCTTCTCTAGGACCATGAACTATAGGCTCAATATCCTTTGCTTTATTTACATCTAGTATCCACTTATAAGTGAGTACTCACCATGTTCATCTTTCTGGGTCTGGGTTATTGAGGGATCCTTAATAGTATGACTGCTAATGCTATCTTAAAAGGAGCCAATACAATCTCAAGTTCTAAAATGCAGATGTTTTCTTGGGGTCTTTCCAATAAAATTCCAACATTTTAGGGAAGAATGTGGTGACTTTTCTGAGAAGTGAGATGCTATCACTGTTTAAATGTGGAAGGCTGAGAATTGTCTGTGAGAATGATAAAAATGTAAGGGAATGCAGAGTTGGGAGACAAGAAACACACACATACATACAAACACATACACACACACAATCAGAAGTGATGGTAAACTTTCCTAACACTTTACTTCTCCAGCCTGTTATATATTGAGTTTCTAGTATTGGTTGGCAGGATTTTGTTTAAAGAGGTTTCATTAAAGATTCTAGTATTGGGTTTCCATGGAGCTCTCACTGAGTCTAGTAGCAGGTACCCAGGAAAATTAACACAGAGACTGGATGCTGTGAATTTATTTCAAATAAAGAAAATCAAGAACAAGTACAAGGACATTGGCAGTTGGTTCCTAGTTCTTGAAGTGTATGGTGTCCTTGTTTTATCTCTGCTCCTGATGCTCAGGGGCAGCAAAGTAGTAATGATTTAGGTGGTCGTAGACAGGTGCCTTTTACACGTTCAAAACGAGAACAGCGGGGTCGGCAGGAGCACCGCTGGTTCCTCAATAGACCTAGTGAAAAAAGGACATGAGACACTGAGTGCTGGGTCAGACATAGATGGTAAAGAGAATTGAGATGTTTAGTGTTGAACCAAATGTCTATGGCCTGTGACTTCCTAAAATCCAGCTGTATTTACAACTCTGTCAACATAAGTCAATACACAAAGCAAGGGATCGTCACTTGGGATTTGGGACTTTGCTCAACAGCCTTCCCTTCCCTGTACTCCGGGCCCTCCATGCACACCTTGAACATACTATCATCCCAGCCCCAAATTCAAAATTATCCCCTATAAAAAAATATGCTCTCTGTCTGTAGCTAAATTGACCTATTTTGATTCAGAAGTTATTTACGTCTCTCTATATATTAAGCTTTGTATGTTGGAGACAAACCTTAGAACCAAATCTTCAGAGGTAGAGAATCTCTTAAATGCAATGGCCTGCAGCGTTTGAATTTTCAATTCACTTTTAATTCAATTAACTTTCATTTCAATTAACTTTCAGTGAGAAAGTTAAATCCCAGAGAAGTTAATTAACAGCGGTTGTAAGAAAGGTGGACCTGTCCCGACCACAGCCTTTGGCCAGCCTTGTCTTCTAACTCTAGTCCTCTATCATGTGGATGTGCTCACCTGCATCCTGGAGACCAGAGCTTTCAAGCCCTCCAAAGGAGATGGACAAGGCCTGGTCCTCTTCTGATGGCTGCATCTTGTCAGGGGCTTCCTCAGCTGCTCCCAGGAGAGGCTCAGCCTGGGCTTGGAGGACCAGCAGAAGGGTGGTAATAAGGACAAGAGTCTTCATGGCTGAGAGTCACCTGGTGGATGGGTGAGCAGGAACCAAGTATGTGTGGCATGAGGATTCGTCCTGTATTTATAGTTCTGCTAGGAGAAAGGTAGGGACAGGGTTTGCTGATAGACAAAGGCGGCATTGATGAGGAAAGAGGGAACTTACCCCTTCAAAGTCCCCTTGTTGTTCCCGTGTTCTCACAGCTTCCAGCAATGGTTCTGTGTTTAGTGTCTGCTTGCAGAACAGCAAGATGATAAGGATATCATTATCATTTCATATTGTCTGAGTCAATATTTTCTCACTAATATTGGAAAAAGGAATATAAAACTATAAAATTACCCTCTCTTTTCAATACTTTGGAACAGTTTGGAAAAAATGGTATTGATTCTTTTACAAACTTCTTGTAGAATTCGGCAAGTGAAATCACCGTTCCCGGGGACTTTCCTTACAGAGCTCCCTAAGCATTCTCAAAGTTACATATAATTGGTAGAAACCCTGAATAGAAAAAAACAGACTTGATCTAGACACATGGACTGTTTTCAAAGCCCTTCTAAAGCTCTGGTGTATACTGTAGACAATGCATCTTAATGATAAGCCCAGACCTTTAAAGGGAATGGGCCTTTAGTGCTTTGTTTTGTTTTAGTAAGCATATAAAGTGATGGGTCTTATTACTACATTTTCTTATCCTCAACGATAACTGACATTCTTCAAAGACACCACTAATGGAAACCTTAAAGGTCCAGACTATAAGATTTCTTCTCTATGTTCAAAATAAAGATACCACAACAAGCACAAAAACTAAAATCTGAGGGTTAAGAAGTCTACTCAAAACATGTTCTACTATCCATGTCTGTTTATTGTTCTCTTTTCCTTGTTCTCTCTTTTAGTTCTGTTTAACTGTCTATAATTTCTTAGCTCTAATTCTCTCAATTTCAATTTTAATTCTTTTCTATATTGTTTTTCTTCTTCTTCATTTTCATTTTACTCTCTTTGCTAATTTCTGGGACATTTCCCCTTGGTTTCTGCTTCTGTCTGCTCCCACTTCTTCTTTTTTCTTTGTTATTACCCAGCTAAAAAGACCCACAAAACTTTGCAGGCATGGGTAACCAGGAAACCTACATAAACAGACAAAGGAAGCTTATGTTCCTTGGCCCATTAGCATTGTTGCCAAACGTTAGGAAGCTTCAATGTCAGCAAGCTCCTAATTAAGCTTGATGCTTATCAGAAACACCAGTGAAGGTTTTTCTTCCTCCTAGCGGTGGGTAAAGGGTTAATTATTTTTTCTAAGAGTAAGACACAACAGTAAATCTCCTTAACTAAAGTCATCAGTAAACTGAGGTGAAGGTGAAGTGAGGAGTTAGGAATCTTTTAATGCAAGGTTAGTTTTAAGTCATCACTTTTCTTATCTTTAAGTGAGGTAAAATCAAGACTTGTTTTTTTTTTTTTTTAATCTATGTGAGCAGCTATGAATTAACAGCTTTGGGCATGTAGTAATCCTATGTTTTTGGATATCTAGGAATGTTTTTTTTTTTTAATATTTCTGTCTCTTCCCCGCCACCGCCTCCCATTTCCCTCCCCTTCCCCCAATCAAGTCCCCCTCCCTCGTCAGCCCAAAGAGCAATCAGGGTTCCCTGCCCTGTGGGAAGTCCAAGGACCACCCACCTCCATCCAGGTCTAGTAAGGTGAGCATCCAAACTGCCTAGGCTCCCACAAAGCCAGTACGTGCAGTAGGATCAAAAACCTAAGAATGTCTTAAATGGAATGCTTTTGGCTGGACCCTAAACACTGACCAAATGTGTGTCAGAAAAGATAATTGCAGGAAGGCAGATCTCTAAGTTTACACAGGTAAAAGCAGCAAAGACCTGGCAGTGGGAAGCAGGTTTCTTGACTGTGTGACTGTTGTCTTCACACAGAGCTCAAATAGTGCTGAACTGTGGAAAACAAATCCCAAATTTGTAACAGAAGTGGAGTCAGCTACATCAAAATCCTTACAGCAAGAAACAGCCACTTTATTCATAAAGCAATAATGACAGCCTGCCTGGTATACTGTTAAAATCATTCAAAACAGAGTCCCTAACTCTGTTGGGTTGACCTTACCAAAAAGATGGCTGAGTAATAACTGTATAATGTTGCAGACTGTAGCACACAACAGTCCCTTAAGTGAGGCCTGGGGAAGCCGCATTAATCAAAAGTTGTCAGAAAACTAGAGAGTCAAATGCAGTGGAATTCTCCCATATGCCATGTAATAAATTCAACACAGAGTGAACCAGTGTCTTTGAGCTGATACCTGTCTATTAAAGCCCAGAGAAGACGGGTGAGTGTTCATGTCTTATGACTATCAGTGAACAAAGAAACATATGCTCATCATCAGAATTAGTCTCTTAAGCTTTGAAGGACTGTTCAGGAAAGTCAGTAGTGGTGGACATGTTTGCTCATGTGAGACAGGGTCTTACTAGACAGCCCAGTCAGGCATGGGTATTGTTGTCTTCCTGCCTGCTTCACCTTGGTGCTTGAACCACAAGCCTGTGCCACCAGACCTGACCTCAATTTTATTTGAAGAATACATAATAATGGTTTTTAGCACCATCCTTTTTCCTGCAAAATTCAAGATGTCATTATTTTTTCTGCTGTGTAGTACTCCATTGTGTAAATGTACCACATTTTCCTTATCCATTCTTTAGTCAAGGGGCATTTGGGTTGTTTCCAGGTTCTGGCTATGACAAACAATGCTGCTATGAACACAGTTGAGCACATGTCCTTGTGGCACGGTTGACATCCTTTGGGTATATACCCAAAAGTGGTATTGCTGGGTCTTGAGGAAGGTTGTTTCCCAGTTTTCTGAGAAATCGCCACACTGACATCCAGAGGGGCTTTAGCAGCTTGCAAACAATCTCAATAAGTAACAGAAGTTACCACTCTAAAATGCAGACGTTAAGACGGAACATAGGGTAGTGGTTAAGTGCAAGGGATCAGGTCACAGCCCTGTTGCCTAATCTTTAGGCAATTAACCTGAGTAAGGCAATTAACCCCTTCGAAGTTCCTTTACAAAGCCACAGAGTATTGGCCAATAGGAGCAGCAACTTTATTGGGTTGTTGTGCAAACCTCTTATTGGAATAGATAAAAAAAACACTTAGAAATCAATAAATATAAACTAATACAAATATACTGCATATGTTATGTATTTTGAGAATGCTACCTGACATCTTAAATTTCAAATTATCATGTTTCCTATGAAGTCACACAAATCTGACTTTGTAATAGCTAAAAATTAATGTGTGGTGTTATTTTTGTTTTACTTGTTTTTTAAAATTAAATCTGTTTAAACTCTACAATACATACTAAAAGAATACACATTGATTATTTTTGTAAAAAAAAATATTAAGGCAGACATAAGAGAGAGGAGGCATCTACCTAGGCCAGCAGTGTCACTTGAGCTTCTTTTTGAACATTGTATCTGGAATCTGTGCTCTTCTTTGAAACTGTCACTCACTGGAGCCAGGGTTTTGTTTAAAACAGTTACATTCCAGAGACTCTTGACTAAGCCCCACAGTATCATGGCTAAGTACCATGTAATTTCCAGGTCTCAAAGTGAGCAGTACTTCAGTTTTTCTCCGTTCTTGGTTCACAGAATGAGAAGCATGAATCACTCCTTATATGTACCCAAAAGATTCAGAATCAGTCCAGTAAACCGTAGACTACTCCCATAACGGCAGAACAGTCTTGGTTGGGCCTGAAGATGCAGAAAGAATATAAGACAATGATCAAAGTAGTTACCAGTGAGAGACACACTGTCTTTAAAAGACCACTTGAGGTATCTGGAATGTTCGTCATATTGGCTTCATGATGGTCAACAGCGTGATCAGCTATCATAAGTGTACTATTGATGGGAATAGCGGAGCATATATGATTTTATATGTATCACTGGTGTAATGCAATATCTTCTTCCAGATATGTTGTCAAGACTATTGTTACTTTTAGGCTGTATAATACAGTTATACATGTTTTTGTTACACATGTGTCCATATAAAGATGTACATTGATGTTTTCCTCGTTTTTGGAAAAAGCACAGAAATAATAAAATTCTTCCTATTGGAAAAGGATCTCGATTTGTAAAAATTAATTCAGATATAGAATATACCATGAATAATTTAGGCAAGAGAAAACTTTGATATGCTGTTGGGAGCTATGAACCCCCAGATCCTGAATTTCTTGTAAACAACGTGTTATTCTTGCAGCTGCTCTGAGTTCGAGACAATCAGGAGTTCCTGATGGCAGGGGACTGGTTTCTGGTGGATTTGGCTGGGGCTTGGCTATCAGTTAAGGATCCCTCTATAAGCTGCCCCTGGATACAATAAAGGGGGCATTCCTGTTCCAAGGATGACCCGTGCCACTCTGTATGTGTGTCTTTGTGTGTTTAAATCTCTAGGCCCTTGCCCGGCTCGCGAATGGTCCTGTGGTGCAGGCGCTGCAATAGAGGAGTACCGTCGGGCAGTACAATATGCTTCTTTTTTTCTTGCACAACACGAGTAGTAGGATAAAGGTAACAGTTCAGTACATAACACTGTCCTGTTGAATACTGGTGGTTTCATGGAGCATTTCCTAGCATGGCTGAGGATGAGAAACAGCTGGTAACACACTTTATTGTGTGGCTTTATTTATTTACTTTAATTCTAATCTCCTAAAAGTAAAAAGTCCAAGATCTCAGACATGAACTACACCACATCATTGATTTGATTGTGACGAGGCTTCTGGAATATACTATGAGATGTGCTCAGGTCACACTGGCTTCTTCCGAACAACCTGCGCTAGCTTCACTCTGACCACAAATTTGCCCATCATTTCCTCTTGAGCTTGATTCACCAGGGCCATCTTACTTTGTCCATAATGGCTCCAAAGAAAAGAATTCACACGGGTAGTAATATCTGAGAATCACTCAAAGAACTACTGTCAAATCTACAGGCATTCGGGTCTGGTCCAGGGTCCACACTTTCTAAGAATAGCAAGCTCCAACTTCAGAATACCAAAACTTTTTATTCCAT